TACCAGTTAGAAGGCGAGCCACGGTGTCATCACTAGTGTAGTTATAAAATCAGGGTTGGTGTATTTAACTCAGTCTAAGCAGCATACCTATACCACAGCTGCAGTAAACATGTGTGCCTGAACTAAATGAAATTCAGAGGTGAGTTGTTGACACGGTGTAACAAGCTGATGACCTCCACACTGCATTGAGCCATAATTTATGACAAAGACTGAAACAAGTAGTGTTTAAATATAGCTGGAGACATGTTAATTGTAGCTCGTTATGTTTCCCTTGCGTAATAAACTTACATTTATTTCCAAATGGCTGTTTAATGTTTGCAGGCATACATGTCTGTGATGTTGGGCTCAGTTGACCTTAATTTTATTTATTTATCCCCCCTACAGGATTATGGCAAGGAGTCCCAGGCCAAGGATGTTATTGAGGAATACTTCAAGTCCAAGAAATGAAGTGTCAATAAAACAATGAAATGAAGCTCTGGAGTGTGTTATTGATTTGAGTTGCTTGGTTAGATATTGAGCATTATTTTACTGTGTACCAATCTTGTTGCTTGGTTAGTGCATCATTTCATGAGCTCTTTCTCCAAATTGAGAATTTCAGATTTATTTATTTTTAATTTTGAAAAAGCTCTTTGCCCTCTGGATAACATTGTTACTGCTTAGCCAGAAAACGTTGATGGTCAAGCAGCATGGATCCCAAATTTGTGGGTATGAATGAGTGAAACTTGAACCGTGCAATGCGCAGTTTTGAAATTCACACCATTGGAGCATCTAGTAAAAGTTCAAATCCTGGTGACCTTAACTTGACCTCAAGTTGAGTCCACTTACTATGATTTAGGCTCCATGGAGTGTTGCTGTCTCTTAGCTGGTTTGACTGAAAACTAAAAAGCCAGTCAGATAATGAACATTGTTGAAGCTTTCAAAACATCTTTAAAAACTTATATAAATTGTTTTTCGTGTAATACTGAATGCCTCTCAATGTATTACATTGAACAGAGCTTTGAAATGTTAAAACGCAAACATCAAATGAACACTTAAATGGAACATTATCCAAGAAAGAATATAAAGGAATAACAGTTACGTAATTGGAGAGAAATGAAATAGTTGAGATGAATACCATCGAAGTAATTGGTTTTCTAGATTGTTCTATTTGCTATAGTACTAGTGTCAAAAAATGACATGAAAACCAGTTCTAATAAACAGCGCTTATGTATTATTATTATTATTATTTTTTTTTTACATAAAATGATGCATGTGAAATCCTTTTGCACGAGAAGCTTACCATTTACCTTGTGCAGCTTGGCAGGTTTGCATAAGTTTCCTCAGGTTACAATCGAGTACACCAAAAAGCCAGACTATCACGAGTTTGTTGCATAATTCTTTTATCAAGTATGACTTGAAATATTTCAATCCTTTGATTTTGGAATTAATTATAATGGGTTATAACTCAAGGAAATCATACATCAAGCCTGATAATTAGAATATTTCCTAAGATCATTAATTTATAATACAGAAATGCCCAGCTTCATTTAAATGGAACTCAATGGAGTCTCCTTTGCCTCAAATTACTGCATCAGTTTGTGGCCTTGCTGAGTTGATAATCAAAGTCCAGTTTGCTTTGACAGCAGCCTTCAGATTGTCTGTATTTTGGAGTCAGATTATTTTTCCATCTACCCTTTGACTTTAGCAACTCTACAGAGAACACGTGTTCATGTTAGATTCAGTTGGGAAGCGATTAGGTTTGGTACTGCAAGCAGGAGCCAGGTTTTGCTGGAAAAAGGAAATTGGCATCTCTATAAAGATTGTAAGCAAATGGATGCATGAAGTGCTTTAAAATCTCCGGGTAAATGGTTGTATTGACTTTGGACTTGATAAAACATAATGGACCGACTACCATCAACACTAGTATTTGACATGAAAATCCAAATCATCAGACTGAAAAAACTTCACTGGGTTAATCTCCACTCTTCCTCCAGACTCGGGGACCTTAATTTTCAAACGAAAATCCCAAATTTACTTTAATCTGAAAAGATGACTTGAGACTACAGAGCAGCAGTCCATTTCTTTTCCTCCTCAGCTCAAGTAAGATGCTCCTCGCATTTCTGGTTCAGCAGTGGTTTGACATGAGGAATGTGACATTTGTAGCCTCTTTCCATCTGGTGTCTCCTGCACTGACACCAGCCTCGGTCCACTTCTTGTGATGCTCACCCAAGTTGTTGACAATGCCCTCAAGGCAGCGGGCATCCCCATTGCTTGTGCACCTTTTCCTACGACAACTTTCCTTTCCAGTCAGTTTTCCATGAATATCTGTTGATACAGCACTGTGAACCAGCCTTTCAACAGTGACTTTCTGTGGCTTACCCTTCTTATGGAAGGTGTTAATGATCATGACCCGGAGAACTGTCAAGTCAGCAGTCTTCCTTAAGGTTGTGGGTACTTGAGCAGACCAAAAGAGTGTTTATACTGCTTGAAATCAAGTATTCTGATGGTTTTTATGAGCTATAAATAAACCGTAATCAAATTAAAACAAAGGCCTAGAATTCTCCAAAGTACATAAAATGGATATTGAATATGGGACAGTTATTATTCTGAATTTAGAAAAAAAAATCAAAATATTCTATTGTTTGTCATCTCTCTCAGTACATCAGCATGTGGGTTTTCATGTTTTTTTAAGCAAAAACCATGAAAATAACCTTAAGAGGAGTCAGGTATGCAGTATAAGGTTCAAAGGCAATCTGTTCAGGTAGAGCACAATAGGGATGTTAAACTCTAGCTTTAGGCTCAGTGTGCTCTCCCTTCTTATTATAGCCCTGTCATTTTGTGACTTTAGTTTCAGAGTATCACAGGTTGTGCTAAGGATCTTGTTTCTTTTATGAAAGAAGATGCATAGGTCATGTGGATAAGTTTTCTCCTTTATATCTACATACATAGACATTTCTGAATAAAGAAAAGACATTCAAACACATTAAGGCACAACACATCATGATGCACATCTTCAAGCCCCACCCACCAGAAAGAAAACAAAATACAAAAACCAGAAGGAAAAAACAAAAGAGCCTCAAAATTTCCAATTATTTGACCAAAAAGAAAAAGAAAAACAACCCCAAAACCCTACCACTGTCATGTAAGTTTATTGTAAATAATTTACACAAATTTCTACCACAGACTGCATTCTTTTGTCGTGATTATTATACCACTGGGAACAAAACCCTTACAAAAAAAGCTGTTATCCCAGTATACATGATATGGTCTGTACAGAGAAGCCTTCAAATTAATGCATAGCCAATGATCTTCCCCCCCCAAGTGATGCCACAAGTCCTCATTTCCACCTGGGTGCTCTGACCACAAACTAGATCTCAAGGGAAAAAAAAAAATCCTCCCAGTCCAAGGAAGGTCTTAAGCCTGCTACAGCTGCAAGAACAGCAGACTGGATTTTCAGAGGTCTGTCCCCAGCATCAGGACCAGGGGGGCTGAGCAAGGATGTATCGGATAGCCTTTTCCTAATCCCACTTTCCTCTTCTTTACCTCCTTTAACCTCTTAAGACCGTTACGAGTTTGTAAATCCAGACATTCAAAAACAAGACAGGAAACGAAAGTAATCACAGAAACACTTGCAGTGTCGTGTGTTCTTAAATAGTTATACAAAAGAAAGGGGCTGCCTGGCTGACCGTGTCCATGTGACAATGCAATGAGTCCATATTGCTATAATAGTTACAGGTACTCAAACTCCAGTGCTTGGTGTAATGCCAGCAGGTCAGAGTGACTTGATATCCTCCAGAAAGGCATGTTGTGCTGCGGAGTGGACACACATCATTAAAATCAGACGTACAATTATCACTGTTGCACACCACCACCGCCTAACCACATGCAAGCTACACTACTGTAGCTTGTAGCTGCACTGCAAACAAAAATCCATGCATTTCTAAGGCTTTAAGACAAAGGGTGGCATTTTGGGAATTATGCTTATCCTTCTGTTCAGAAGGTTACATCAGATGACATAATTTATATCACTCATCTCTCCCCTCTTGGTGAAGCTACAGCCAGCGGTTCGTCAGTTTAGCTTAGCATAAAACTTTTAAAAATAGGTACCTTAGCCTTAAAAAAAGCACAAAAATCTACAAAGGGCAATTCTCAATATCACCAACTTAATTGTAACATATATGTATCAGCAATAATATGTACAAAGAACTTTAAAAAATGTATGAAGGATAACTTTGAAACACTCATATAACCCATAGAAAATTCCTGCAGCTGTTGTTTTTGACTTTTGTTTTCATTATAATTAAATCAACAAGATATAACTAAATTGGTGAGCTGTAAAGACTAAGAAATTTTTACTTTTTAAAACACCAGTTTCCCCAATGTTTCCGGCCTTTATGCTAAGGTAATTTAACTTTTTGCTGACTGTAGCTTGAAGTCAATAGTTTCCTAAAAAGCTTTAACAGTAGTGCCAAAATTGTATGTGGGAAGTTTTTACATCCTGTTCTACATTTTATTATGTTTTAGACTAATCTTGAAATGAATTCAGTTTTTTTCTAAACACAGTCTACACATAATACTCCACAATAACAAAACAGAGTTTTCAGAGTCCTGTGATACTGTACTAAAATTAGAGACAGAAACATTGTCTTCATGCGTAACCCCAAAAAACTGTTGGGTCACTCTGTGAAATGTGAATAAAAACAGAATGCAATGATTTGCAAATCTCATAAACCCATATTTTAATAAAGATATTAAACTGAGAAAATATACCATTTTATGAGAAATGTTGGCTTATTTGAAGTTGATGGCAGCGGAATATCACAAAAAAGTTTGGATGGGGACAAGAAAAGCCTAAAAGTGGTGCTAAAACAAATATGTAGATGAAGAGTTTGCTACTTATCAGGTTAACTTGACGCAGGCTATTAAGATGATTGGGTATGAAAAGATCATCAGGTTGAATTCAGTTTTATTTATAAAGCACCAAATCACAGCAACAGTTGCCTCAAGGTGCTTTTTATTGTAAGGTCTTTACCTTACAATATTTAATATGTGCATTGAAGGAGACATCCTGGTCAAAAAAGACTCCAAGACTCATCCCAGTGTTACTGGAGGCCAAGGTAAAGCCATCCAGAGTAAGCATCTGGTTAGACACTGTATCTTTAAGATTTTTAGTACAATAACCTCAGTTTTGGAAGTGGAAAACTGTTCTGCAGTCAGATGAATCAAAATTTTGGTAAAATGGATTCAAGAGTGTTCAGTTCGAAAGCCTGCATTTCTGATGCTATGACACTGGACTGTGTGAAAGGAACAACATTCCTTTCCCAAAGGTCCAGGAGCTGGTTTCCTCAGTTCCCAGACATTTACAGACTGTCGTTAAAAGAAAAGGGGATGCTACAGAGGTAAACATGACCCCTGTGTTGTGAATAGACTGATGACCCAGTGTCAGATAAGTGGCAGAAGATTGATGGATGGATGAATGGATGGATGATAACAAACCTGTTGTTATGACACTCACAGTTGTGGCGCTTCCTACTTTTATTAAATGTTCTCCTTGTTTCAGCCAAACTCCGTAACTGGGACGGAGGCCATGTAACTAAGAACCCAGTAGTCACTATGAATAAACTCCTTTGTAGGGATGGGAGAAACATTCATTAAGACAGTAATCCAATCTGATCTAAAATGAAGACAGACGCATGGAGGAAACTAGGCACTGGGCATCACCTCATTAATTCCAATCCTACAGTCAAAGACAGAGGTGGCAGCATTATGCTCCATCAGTAATTTTCTGTCAAGTACTGGGAAACCAGTAAGGATAGAGGGAATGATGAAGGCAGAAAATATAGAGAAATCCTGAGTGAAAACCTTTGTCAGAGTGCTCAGGATTATATTTCAGCAGGGAAAAAAAGGCCCTAGTGCAATGCCAAAAAAGCACAGGAGTGGCTCTGGGAAAACTCCTGGACTGACCCAGCCAGAGTCCAGACCTAAACACCTCTGGAGAGTCCTGAAAATGTCTGACTGAGCTGGCTGATGTTTAACAATTTTGCTAAGGAGAACTGGAGAAATCTTCAAATGAAAGCTTGAAGGTTCATTTCCGCTCGCTGCTGCCAAAGGAGCTTTAACACAAGTGAAGGGTAGTCATGCAAATGGGTAATTCCAGGTTTTTATTCTTAATAACTTGACAAAACACTTCAAAATCCTATTATACTAGGTTCTTGTGGAGTATTGTGTGTAGACTGATGGGGGCCAGGAGGGGGACTGAACCAATTTTAAGATGATGCTAATGTTGAAAACCATCCAAATCCAATGTATTTAGTGCTCAGTAAGAAAGTAAAAAAAAAAGAGTATATCCCAAAATGCAAAGCCATCTTTTAACAACCCCAGCACCCAGCACGATGAATGAAACCCAAAGCTGTAGAAGAGAGGATTAAGAAAATATTCTGGTGTAGCAAACTTAAAATAGATCACTACTTATCTCCCTTTTTTTTGTTATACAACTACAACATCAGTTAAAAACACATAACAGGAGACACGTCACAGGATACGGCAGGATCATTGCTCTGAACAAATGAGGCCGTTCACAGCCCAGTCAGCGTGTACATTTACACAGCCATTCATTACACAATTGCAGATGCCAATGTCAATCTAATAAAAATCTGTTATTGACACAAATTTGGAATAGCTGACGCTGAAAAAGCTGGTGCAAAAATATCCATCAGCAGCTGAGGCTCATTCTCAAATTTTCACTCTGACGGCTGCAAAAGTCTCCTGTCACCCCATGAAAAAAACAAAACAAAAACCAAAGCAAGTAGACCAGAAAAAGTAAAGGACCAACACAAAACTGCAGCAGCAAAGAAAGGCGGGCTTCGTCCAATCAGAGCACACGCTGTGCTGAGTAGGCGGGGGTCACGGTGAGGTTGCGGGTCCATTACCTTTTTGGCCGCCTGTTCCTCTTCCACACCGTCCCCAATTACAACATACACTACTTTCCTGCCAAACCTTTGCATTATGCGTTCAAAGCAACTCTCTTTTCCTGCAAAAAACAAATAAACAAGGGGGAGGAAGGAGGGTCACATGGTCAGAGGGGTCAAAGTTCAGGTGTCATTTGTTTACCTGGCTGGCGGCATGCTCTTCATCCTTTCCATCGCCAATCACAACATATGTAATGTTTGTGCCAAAGCGGGAGACTATACGCTCAAAACAGCTTTCTTTGCCTGGAGACAAACAAATGGCTTTCACAGGTTTTTCCTTTGTTTAGATGGAAATAAAACACAGGAAGAGGCAGAGCTGTGCGTACTAGGGTGAAGTGAACACACACACAAACACACAAGATGGTGTCTACTGATTTAATAGTTAAAAATAGCGTACCCAGAAGTGGCGTGGCATCTGACCTTAAACACTAGCTTTTAAAGATATCAGATTGTTACATCTGTTTGAATCAAGGCATATCACATAGTGACACACACATACATTTCCTGAGTGTTGTATCTTTCTACCCAAACCCCAGTCTGAGTTGTTTTGTTTCCACTCTTCAATAAGTCAGCACTGGCCATGGTTGCGGTACACTGTCACAACCAGCTGAGGTTAGAGTCCGTTCAGAGTGTAGACGTGCAGCCTGAGCGACATGTGTGTCGAGGCCAGATCGGGAATGCACGAGCTGAGTGCGGATATAATGCTGGAAGAATACTGTAAGTGTGGGGATAAGTAAGTCATACTAAAGACACTCAACACCCACACAGGTGACTTCGCCTAATGTGGCAAATGAAACATCTGCTGGGTGGAGCTATGTTTCGGATTGTGTGACGTCATCCACCTCAAAAAGATCATCTTCCCTTTCAATCAAAATCATTGACATTAGTAGTATAAGAGCACACGTTTAAATTAGTCTTGAGTCACCCCTTACTTGCTTCTAGCTATCCAGATTATCTTGCAGTTTGTTTAGCAATGGTCTCGATATTTATTTATTTTTTGCAGCTTTTTCATCATTTTCAGTCGAGTTCTTATATCTGATCATTTTCACAGGGATGATTTTTTTGCTTGTTAAGCCATTTAACATCTTAACACTGACCTATGAGTCATTCAAGCATAAAAAAAGGAAAGGATGCAGTAAAAGCATACCTGGATTTAAAACACCCACACACCCACACACCCACACACACACACACACACACACACACACACACACACACACTCTATTGACGGAGAGGGGGAGATTTGAATGTCTTTAAGAAGCCTGGAGAACTATTCCTGATGGCTGCTCAAGGAATCTACCAGAAAGCCTAAATAAGAGAGTCCAGGCTGTGTATAAAAGTGGTCATATTAAACACTGACTTTCAAACTTGTGTGAATTGTACAAATGGACTGTTTTCCCGTGTGTGTTTATGCATGTTTTAATAAATCATTGCACCTATTTCCCATTTTCCTAGAAAAACAAAGATATGAGGAGTGACTCAAGTCTTTTGCACAGTACTGTATCTATCCAGTTACTATTTTATGACTTCTATTCCACAATATATTGTATTATTTAATTCAGTCCATGAATGAAATCATTAATTTAGTCTTTGTTTTAAATTCATGGACTGTGTACAGATGCGTGTGTTTACGTGTGCTTACCTATTTTTGTTGCACTGTAAATGTTCTCAATAGGAAAAACAGATCCCAGACTATATAAGAGAACTTTGGCCAGCGCTGGTATGAGCTGTGTTGTGGTCACCAACACATTTACACAGTTACTCCTGAGGGACAAAGAGAAAGAATAGGCCATATTATGCACAGTGGAGGTGGGTAGGTAAATGCATGAATAGATTCCCGAGTGCCTCTAGTGTCCACTGGTGCTCAGGTCCAACCCTAACTCTTAACCACGGAAATCAAAGGAAGAGAGGACTAGAAGAGACATTGCCATCTGTGTAAATCGTGGAAATAAAATGGAAAGTGGCACCTGGAGCTGATTATGGACAGGGACTTGAGTGCGTGGGTGAGCCAGGAGTCAGTCAGAGCTTCCACCTCAGCTCTGAGCTGCAGCCAGGCGTCTCTCTTAGCAGGACCCAGCAGACCTAAAACACAGCACCAACTTCTTTACTCTATAAGCACTCTACAATGCACTCCAATTTTGTTTGAGCAATAAAAAATAAGCTGTATTTGCTGTATTTGTATCTGTGTCTATACTGTTCCACTATTTCATTGCACAGTGTTCCCTGTGACAGCAAGGGACTATTCTATTCTTCTATTCTGTTATTAATTAACTTGAATATTTAAATAGTCCTATACAAAGTTAAACCCCCCCAAAACAAAACAGTTTTTTAACATCTAATAGATGATCAGGACTGAATGCTCCCCCCTTTCCCAGACAGAGTGTGAATATAATTTCAGAACATTTCAACTCCTGTAGAGTTTAACTAAAGTAAAACTCATTTTCAACTCCGTTCTGAGTCTATTCTGATTGGCTTACCCCCCACATTGTTTTTGTACGTGCTATACAACTCTTTGACTCGTCGGTAGCGGAAGGCCAGTTTCCTCATCCAGTCGACTCCACCGCGGACGCCCGTAGCCAGGCACAGGTTTGCGCTGGTTGCAGCTGCATGGAAGCCATCAGTTGCAAAACTGTAAGTACTGTCAATAATAATAATATGTTTTATTTGGAAATCTGCTCTGGTAGAAAAAAAAACAACAAGATGGTTATTTGTATTTTGGTATTGGTATCACAAACATAACGGCAAGCATTTATTTGTAAGAATGCAGTTAAGTATCATCTACATACTTTTAAAATTTTAGTCATCAAGTTAATATTAAAACACAAACTGGACAAATGTTGTTAATGTTTATCTGAATATATGATCTACAGAAATGAATGAATACTACAACTTTACACAAAAGTTAATTTTTAAATAATCACCTTAAGTCCTGGCCATTGTCATCTGATGACACGTCATCAATATGCACCTGATCACATTCCTGTATACAGATACACATAAAAATAACAATTATTGCAAGCACAATGTGCCGAAGATAGAATATAGACATGTTGTGACATTTACAGTATGTTAACTTCATTTTCACCACTAGAGGGCAGCAGTTGTATCTAACTGGGTAATGGTTTGGACCTCAGGCTTCCTCCCACAGCCCAAAGTCATTATGTTAATTCAATTCAGTTCTATTCAGATTTTATTCCTATAGCACATTTAAAAGCAACAGAGTTGACCAAAGTGCTTCACAATTAGTTAAGAACAAGAGAAAACAATAGAGAAACAAATACAGATAAACGAGAAGACGATGTATTAACTTAAAAGTCAAAAGTTAAGATAACTGTTGATTGTAAATTGGCTTTAGATGTGACTGTGAGCACGAATTTTGACAGTGGTGTGCCCTACCGTTTGCTCAGTCCAAGCTGGTGTATGATAAGGTGTGTATATCAAATCAGTGGAACAATGACATTCTCAACATTACGCTTTGTGCAAAAGCTAAAGACGGAGCAAAAACTGTTGACAATGTTAACAGCTGTGACTCACCTCCAGGTCATTAAAAAATAAGTGTGTGTCAGCCAAGTTGAAGATCATCTCTTCCATCCTCAGACCCAGTGTTACCGCCATGGGAGGGTCCTAAGAGAAGAGGAAGATAACATCATCATGACATCAACATGACAACAAATTTCCAGAGTTAATACTTACTCCCACCTCAAAAAACATTTTAGACCCCCCACCCTCAACAAACCCCTATTTGTATACTTGGTACGTTCCGCTCATCACTGCAGACGCTGACAGACAGGTTGCACTTGTTCTGTCCCATCAGCATTCCTTACGTTTTGAGGGGGGGGAGAGAGCAAGATTGTGTCCCTCCATGTGTGTGTGTTGCAAATTGTAGGTGCCCTCAAAGGGAGATACCTGGAGTGTATGTGGTGTGTGAATGGTTTGTGTGTGTCTATGTGTGTGTGTGTGCGGGCGTTCTGGAGAACGCGGCCTGCACTGCCAGGCTAGCGCTCAGCTGCAAAAACCATCATCTGTGATAGGTCAGCAAGGGTCGACAGCTTGCCGCACGATTCGCTGACGCTGTCAGACGACCAGAATAGAAAGAAAGTAACAGGAAGGAGAGCGAAAGTGAGCAGGCGAGGTGCTCAGGCACGGAAAGCGAGAGAAACTGGCGGCATTCATGAATGTCAGAAAGTGCAAAAGGATGTGCATCTTAAATCAGAAATTTGCTAACGGTGAGGAAGACTGAGGACAATCGCCTAAAGTCTTTTTCATTTAATCAAAACTGTCACCACATATACTTATGAGTTCTGTACCATAACAACACATGTTACTGAAATTTGTTATCTCCGACACACAGTGAATGACAGAGATTGAAGAGCATCTGTTAAATCTCCACTATGACTCATCACTGGCTATATTCTACGCGCATACAAAAGTCAATAACTCCTACTTGTTATTGCTAAATAACTATTATAATATTACTGCACAAAAATCCAGATGCACTCTTCACCTTCGCTGGTATCACTTAAGCTCTGGAAACTCAACACTTCCTCATGATGTGAGCAGCATACTAAGTATAGTAAGAAACAGAGAGTGAGATTGGCTTGTGCGATAAAGACGTCTATGCTTGTATTGACAAAAAGGCAAAACATCATTTGGAGCAGCTGTATCCTCAAAGCTCCATGAGAGGGGCACTTAGGTCTTGTGGTTTCTATGTTAATAGTGTAAACACTATTTTGGGTGAGGTGTGAACAGACACAGCTGCTGCTATATTTCTCAAGGGCAGCGGCAGAAAACAAGGTGAAAAAAATTCTCTCGCAAATATTTTCAGGCAAATATTAGGAGGCATATCCTTTTTTTTTTTTAATGCAGATGATTTGCCAGTTGTCATGAGCCATGCGGGTAATCTGACATGGCGTGCTATGAGAGGGTACATTAAACCCCGATTTGAGTTCTTGGAAACATCTAATTCACTAGTTTGCAAGTCAAGACAAATGCAAAACCTCACTTCTTGATATTACCATTCAATTCAGTGCTTCTCTACAGAAAATACAACACAAAGAGGCTGAATTATCCATCAAGACCACGTGTGCCCTCGCTCTAAACATGGCATTTTACAACTCACCAGGGCCTGTCTTATGCCCATTAAATCCCAATTGCCAAACCTTAAAGTCCACAAATGCAGAACAACTAGGAAGCACATCAATGCCTGCAAACCCTATTTGTAAAAAGCCTGGGCTCCTATGCCTAAATGCAAGTCGGGCTCCAAATTGTGCGTACGCTGTGCCAGCTTTTGTTCGACTGCCAAACAGCAATATCAGAACGGATTTATGATGCAAAGTCCGTACAGGCGGGCTGGTGGCCACGCCGGTGCCCACAGGAAACGACATCACCCAATAAAAATCTGCAGCCTTGGCTACGCGGGACGACCACAGATCAGTTCCAAGAACATTTTTTATTAAAATAAAGGGAACTATAAACAGGGATGCTGTTATGGGAGAAGGAGAGACCACCAAATAAGTTCACAGAGAAAAGTGGAATAAACATCAGCCCAAGTAAGAAATTAGCACATTAAATTATCATTCAATTAAAGAAAGCATTGGCAATTTAAAGACTTGTTTCATAATCCATTAGATTATCATCCCAAATTGACCGTAACATTCCTGAAGTGGCTGATGTCATTTTGAAAAATCTACAGAGACAAATGAAGCTTATTCACTTTGCATGCTCATTGTCAAAATCAAAGTAAGGATGGAAACTCTGGTTTCAGAGATGGTGTATGAAGGTGGAGTATTGGTCCCTAAAAATCTGCTTCACTGATAGATCCTCACTACATTATATAATTTACCAATTTATGGTAAATTACCAATTTTAATCTATGTTGATTGTATCTTTTCAAGAAAACATTAACTTTCAAAGCTAAAATTTAACCTAGCATTTAACGTTATTTTCCACCTGTAAATAAGAAGAGGTGGGATGTGTTTTCAGAATGTGGCCATGTACCACCAAAAAAAAAGCTCCACACCTCACTACACCACAGGGCACAGTAGCCTGAACAGTAAACCACCACCATATATTTTCTTCAAGAGAGTAAGTATACCCTTGATTAACTATGCAGCAAGTGTGAGCGCCCTTATAACAGCAGGAATTTTAGCTGTTTAATAGTGCAGATCATTCAGGTGTGCCCAAATCTCCCCAGCAAATTCACCTTAAAGTTATACCGTGAAATGTTCAGACAAATAGCCAAAACCCCAAGAGCTACATCTTAGACTTTACAGGTCTGTGGTAGCATACTAAATGCTCATGACAATGCAATTAGAAAAAATACTGAACAAGAATTGCTAGCTTGGAAGTGTTACCAGAAGAAAGGCTCCCAGGCAGGGTGAACATGGAGGCAGAATTTAGGGATGTAAAGTTGCTTCTGAACAAACCACAGGAACTTTTAGAACAATGTCCTTTGAACAGACGAGACCAAAGTGGAGATGTGTGGCCATAATGTGTGATGTTTAGAGAAAATCAAACACAGAATATCAGCACAAATGCCTCATACCAACTGTCTGCCACAGCGGTTACACAGGGTGATGATTTGGGTTTGTTTTGCAGCTACAGGACCTCGGCACCTTGCAATCATCGAGTTGACCATGAACCGCTCTGTATACTAAAGTGTTCTGGAGTAAAATTTGAGGCCATGTGTCTAGCAGCTAAAGCTGGCCCAAATTGGGTCACAAAAAGGACAATGACCTCAAGCACAGCAGCAAATCGACAACAGAATGACAGAAAAAGGAAAAAGAAAAAACAAACAAACAAACAAGGCAATCAAAGTCCAGATCTAAACGCCACTTAAGTGCTGTGGACATCAAACAATTTAACAAGTTATTGCTGCTAAAGCTAGCTGCACAAACTATCGAATCATTTGGTGTACTTAGGGCTGCGTTACATAGCTGAGGTGCAGCTTAGCAGACAGCTGCTGGGTGCAGCTGCTGGTGTCAGCACCAACACGCCACACCTCTAATAATGCGTAACATTAGGTGTCATCACTTAACTGGGTGAGTTTACCTCCTGTTCTACTGTAACAATTTTCGTTTTCTTTCTGTACCAGATTTTTAAAATGAGTATCCACATGAATAGACTCACTTGGGGAGTTGAAGGTTCAAGAAACAACACTGGCTTTATTTTCATGCCCACCTTTTGTAAAGTTCAAGATTAGGCCCTCCTCTCGATGGCTCAGTTATAATGGATGATCTATTATGAGTTGTGTTAGTAGTCAAACTGATGCTCAAGCTTTAAATCTGGCACGATGTGAAGGTTCATTGCTCGTGAATCCAATGGGCAGTCAAGCGTAGATACATATAGAAGCTTTACGAACAGTAAACTTAACGTAGCAAGTAAACACAGTAAAACAGTCTTACCTTGCCATATTTTTGTGCATAGGAGCCTGTGAGCAGAGAATGGAAGACAATAATCGTCTCATCCAGATCCCAAACAAACACCCTCTGCACATCACAACAAAAAAGACACAATGCAAGAAATTTGAATCTATTCTTCTGATTTTACAAATGGCCCTTATTTAATAAGTACATTTATTTATTAAGTACAAATGTTCTGATTTATCAACATTTTCATTCCTGAATTTACTTACACTTCATGAACAAATGTAGAAGTGAATCTGTACATGAAAATATTATGATTGTCTAGGTGGAGTTAGGAAACAGACAAACATAGGCTACAATCATTATAGTAAGATGATAGCATGATTATTATACTACTATTATTGCCTATTGGTTATTATTTATTGCTTTCAAAAACACCATAAATCAATAAAATGCTCAGAATTACAGTCGGCTTTAACCTAAAATTAAATTGTATGTAAAGAAAACAAAGTAGGAGATATAAAGATGCAGACTTTAAAGTTTTTACTTAAACATATCCCAGCATTCATTTTCTCTTATCTTAAAATATCTGGTCTTCCATTAAAAATGACTTCTATTATTGCTGGATGTCATCACCTACAGTCTAATATCTTGGCACTATCCCACTGGTGCTTTTTATTTATTTTTAATGAGTTTCTCATCACAGGCTGACAGATCATGTTCTCCTTGTCGTCCATCTGTTTTCTTCTTTTTCTTATATTCTGTTAGCCTTTTTTTCACATCAGCTTTGATGTCCAAACCTGAGCCACAGTGAGCGTTCTCAGGAGAAACAATATTCTAAACCTCTGTTATTTCAGCCGGAGCCTCGCTTTATGAAGAGGGCGCCTTTTCTGTCCTCGTCTTTGGAAGCGATTGTTTCAGTTTCTTCAGTCTGTCTCCTGCTTTCTTGCTTTAGAGATGCAGGCTCAACTCTCACAACGCTGTCACCACTTCTTTCTTTTTTCCCCCTGCCATCTAATCTAATTCCATCTAACGGTAAATGCTTCCTTATATAGTGGGACGGAGCAGGATGCAGATTGCACAACCCTGCTGTTTCACAGTTTGATTTACTAATATAATGCGCAGTAGTACAAATAAAATAGTCCGGTGTACAGATTTTATAAATCTGCTGTTAATATAGCATCTACACTTTTTTGTTTTGTTTTACATATATGCATATTAGCAAATAAGGGCCAATATATACATTCAGGCCTGTATTGACAATGACAATGACTCTAATAGCTTCTGCTTGATTGAATTTGGAGACTAAAGTAAAGAAACAGGACAAAGATCAAAGAAAATACCATGTGTCCATGGAGAATTGAAGGGAGCATTCATTCAGTAATCTCGGTGTTCTCAGTGTATGTTTTCTAGTCTCTTACCTCCAGGTCACTATCAGGAGGAGGGGAGGGGTTGTTCTTGCGGCCCCTGCCCCGAGACTTAGACCCCCCACTCCGGCAGGCTCTGTCATCCAGCTCTTTGATGGGTGTGGAAGGGCTCTGCACTGTATCAAAGTCCCCTGAGAGTGTATATAAACACACACAGGGCTTTTGAAACATTTTAAATTTACATGTGATCAAATATCTGTCTTAAACTGCACAAGCAATCACAAACTAAAGTCACTCCATTAAAAGCAGCACTAATGATGTGGTTTGAGGTGATCCCACAGGTGCTCTGGAGTTGTAGCCACTTCAGGAGAAGCAATAATTCAAACCCTGTACAGTAATAAGCCATGTTGTCAGGTTTAATAATTCAAGGTAATTGGCATGACGGATCAACTTAAAGGCTACCAAGAAACCTAAACAAAAGTACCACCGGTATTCTGACTGATTCATGACAGCGTGCACATGCAAAGATTTAACAGGGGAGTGGGAAGATTGAAGTGTGCAATAAATTAGTTAGGTTAGGTAATGTGATGCTTCTTGCTAAGATACAGTACATAGAATTTTCTTGAGGAGAATACATGGGAATGCTCCCAAAGGCTCAAACACACACACACGCACGCTTTCCTAACGCCATATGCTCCCACTGCTGCGCGGTAACTAGAACCAGACTCTGAGCTTCGGCTCGCATATTATTATGTCTCAATCAGGGAGAAAAAGGGAGGGGGGGTGGAGAGAGTGAAAGGGGGGGGGGGGGGGGGGTGGATAAAGATACTCACACACAAGAAAAAGTTGGTGATAAAATAAAAAAAAGACACTACTGGACAAAGAGCGAAAGAGAAAAAGTGAGAAAGCCAGCGGAAGAAAAAGAGCTAGTGACAGGAAGAATGATAAGCTCCTTTAATCAGGCTTTCTGAATTACAGCCAAAATAAACCAAATAATAATATGGAAAAAACGAAAAGCCGAACACGAATCCATATTCCTGAGCACAAGTGTGCAGTTTAAGTCCTTCTTGCTTCCCACTTTCTCCTCCGGCTTGCCCACCAAAGTGCAATATTTAACGTGACTTGTCTCTAATCAAAGTCTCGGACGCTAATGTAAACACATGTCGATTCTCCAATTAGCCAGCGCAATGCCAGGTAACTATGGCTACAGTCTAAAGTTACTTCCTGTGCTTCATCATCGTAGAAAGAGGGCTTTGAACTCGGTTAACTTAAAACTGTGGAAACAAGATTATGAAACCGCAATCAGAAGTGGTGAAAAATTCTTTTGACATTTGTTTGCATATTTATGAAGTTAGAGCCGGGGTGTGGTGTTGGTAACTCGACTGCTTCTTTCTAAACTATGCCCATGTTAACACAAACCTGGGTGAAGTTCAGCAGCCTGTCCGGTTATGGCGGGGGTGGGATCTTGCAGCTGGTAGGCTGCTGTGGAACCGGTGCCATCCACGTTGTTGGAGGTCATGTACGTCCCGTAAGGGGAGGTGGAATAATACTGAGCATACTGGTTTTGGCCAAATGTCGTATATGAGGGATAATCCTGCGGAAAATAACAAGAATTATGAGCACGCAAAGACATACCAAGCAAACAAAAAGAAACAGGGAGACGGAGAGGTTTTCCTGAAAGGACCAGTCTGACTTCTGAGGACAGATTTTACAAGTGTTCCCTCTCATGTCTCTAATCTTTTGTCCCTGCCTTTCTGTATTTTATATCTCTGAAACAATTAAAACCTCGTGCTGCTGCTTTTTACAGACCCAGTGGAGATGGACGTTTTTTATGAGTCAGCTCTCTAAACCTGTCACTACATCCATCTCCAGAAGTCCTTGAACAAAGCCACACACAATAAGAAGGCACAGTTGGTGTGTAGTCATACAGTGCAACACTTGTGCGCACGCTCTGAAGTATCAAAAGGGGTAAAGGAAAAATGTAAACGCAACAGAGTCATAGAAAGTAAGCTTGTTTCTACATAGAGATTTTTACTTTGACTTGCATTTGTTTCCCGGAGACTAACCATGACTTCGACTTTACTTTGCTTAGTTGGTTTAAGGTTAGATTAACCCTAACCTTAAACCAACTTAAATGTTGCAATTCATGCAACTGGAGCTTGCTTCTTTGTCCCCAAAAGAGAGGCAGGTCCCCACAGTGTGACTGTTTAAAAAGATTTATGTCCCCACAACATGAGTAATACAAGTACACACACATACGCACACACTATATTCCCCCTTAATCCACCCACATGGGCCAAACCTTGACTTTCTTCCTGTAAACAGCCACATCTATCATAGTGAGACATTAAAATCCCCCTTTAAGCATTTTTACTACCACAATGCAATTCATCATATGGACATAGAGAAATATTCAGACCATAACACTCTTTCACAAAGACTAATTGTCTGTTTCTCTCCCAGAATTTTCCCTGTTGCAAGGTTGCATTGTGATGATGAAAACTGCGTGGGAGCATGCCTGGAAAACCATTTCTGGTCTGAAATCCTAATGCAACTAATATGAAATTCAGATCCTCTTTCTTTCTTTCTTTCTTTCTTTCTTTCTTTCTTTCTTTCTTTCTTTCTTTCTTTCTTTCTTTCTTTCTTTCTTTCTTTCTTTCTTTCTTTCT